CATATGCTAATGATTCCCAGACCTCTCTCCACAGCACAGATCTCTTCTCTCAACTGTGGATTTGTACATCCAGCAATTTCCTTTTTATCTCTAATTGGATGTATAATAGGCATCTCAAACTTAACATTTCAAACTCAAACTTTTGATGTTCCCTCCCTCTTGCCCTCCACATACTCAGCTGGGCTTTCTCATACCCTACTTCACATTCATTTTAGTAAATGAAAACTCTGGGCTTTTAATTGCTCAAGGAAAAAAACCCAGGAGTCACTGGTTCACTTCTAATCCCTCAGCAAATCCTGTCAGTTCTACTTTAAAATACAGTCCACTCTGACACTTCTCCTTTTCCACTGCCACCGTCTTGGGCTGGATCACCACTGCCTTTCACCTGGAAGATCACTGTCATGGTTTTCTAATAGGTTCTCTGCTTCTGCCTTTACCTACAGTCTCCCCTCTCCAATCGTCCATTTTCAACACAGCAAGCAGAGTAATTCAGAGTACACTATCCTTTCTTTTCAAACCCTTTAACACCTTTCTGCCTTCCTCAAAGTAAAAATCAACATCATTACAATGACCTTCAGGATCTCAACTCCTGGGACTGACATTGCAGTGTAGTGGGTAAAGCCACTGCCTGTGACACTGGCATCCCGTAGAGGCACCAGTTCATGTCCTGGCTGCTCCACTTCCAATGCAGCTTCCTGCTAATGGCCTGGGAAAGCAGCAGAAAGTGGCCCAAATGCTTGGATCCCTGTTATCCACATGGGAGACCCAGATGCAGCTCCTTCATCTGGCTTAGCTCTGGTCCAGCCCTGGAACCAGTGGATGATCTGTCTCTCCTCTCTTTCAAAATAAATTTTAAAACGAGTGATCTCAATTTCTCTGGCCTCATCTCTCCTGCCTTTTGCTTACTCACCTCAGCCGTGCCGTCTTCGAGCTGGGCCTCAGGTGTCCAACGTCCTCCTCTCTCCGGGTCTTTACCCTTAGATTCACTTTCCCACACGCTCCTTCCCAAGATGCACACATGGCTTGATCCCAAGACCATTCTTAAGTGTTATTTTCTCATTAAATATTTCCATGAACATCTAAAATTTCATATTACTTGGCACTGTCTATTCTTCCCATGACGGGGTTTCCATCATAGCATACATCATCATCTGACATACTTTACATTTTACTAATTTACAATTTTTTTGTTTTGCTCACGATAATTCAAGTGCCATGAGGGCAGGACCTGACAGGAACACACATAAACAATAAGTATCTCTTGAATGAATGACAGAATAAAGGGGGTGAGAAAGCTTGTGTGTGAGAACTCTCCTGAGAACATACTGAATCTTGGCTTTCGTCTCCATACGTGTCATTCGCCACATCTAAAAGAGATACCTGTCCACAGACAAGAGGAGGGGGGACAGTGAGCAATGGTGAAACCCTGGAGAAGAAAGGCAGAAGTAGAGTTAGAGGAGGGAGAGAGGAAAACAGAGGCTACCTATTGTGATGGGAGAGACGGACACGAAAGAGAAAATGGGAGAGAGGCAAGAACTGGAAAGAAAACTCTGGGACAGCCTTCTTGCACAATGGCTTCGCTTCAGAAGGAATGCTCCTTGGGGGCTTTCCTCCCTGTTCAGACCTCTCTTTTCAATTACCCCCACCCAGCTGGCTACAGTGACTTCCGTTTGGAAAAACAGATGGCAGCTCAATTAAGATGATCTGGGATGAAAGGAAGTAAAAGGCAACTCAGAGCCCTTCTACTTTTTAGCTGATCTGCAGTGACTTTCCTGGAAGAGTCTGAAAATGAATGATGGGGTCATAATGGTCAAAAGCCATGGTAGAGCTTCAGTGATTGTAACCTTGGAGAACAGGGCTCCCTGTGACGCTGGCTGTGCTACACTCGTCTTCCTCCTGGCTCAGCCCAGGGTCATCCTCCTGTTGGAGATGAGTAAAGGTATGCATGAAAAGAGACAACAGAAACCTCAGGTAGAAGAACCTGCATAAATGCAATCACTCCAGCCCCTTTACTTCTTGCGTACAGGGAGGTGTTCTGTTTTCCACTGGCCAGGAAGATTTTGAAAGTAAAAAAAAAACCACAAGTGCTTTGCAACTTCTTGTTAAGTAAGTTTTCTGACACATGGCAGCGAGTGATTAATTGCTGTGCTAGATGATACCATTCCTGCAGAGAGTTGCTGGAAATACGCATGCTGTCCACGCTCGATCAGACGTTGCTTAAGGAGTGCCGAGGCACACTGCAGCAGTCTGTTATTCCTGCCTATTTTGGTGCCGCTGTTATATTTATTTTACATAGCTTCAGATTCAATAGAATTGATGGAGCCCATTTCACAAAACCTGTCCCTACCAAACACAAGGAGGGAAAAAATAAGGCTATAAAGTGTGTCTGTATGAGAGCAAGAGAAAATGAGACTGAAAGAGACTATGAATAGTAGAATAGTAGGGATGCACTGTTTTTTTATGTATATATAATGCTTTTTGCTCCAGAGAGAACTGCAAGGGAGATGCGTTGTTTCTCATGAGACTATAGGAAAACTGACCCGTGTCAGTTGGCTAAAACTTCCAGGACACAAAACATAACCTAATGTATCATTAGCTGAGCCCTTCATCAATGCCGAAATGAGCCTGGCTTTGATTTCCATTCATTCGTTCAGCGCACACGGTGAGCACTTACTCTCATCCAGGCACCAGACAAACAGTCCTGGCCTCTGGAGCGTACAGTCCAGGGAGGAGGAGCCTTCTGGGGCAGGATATGGAAGGACAGGGTCCTCTAATGCTATTTGTTTATGCCACTCTACCTACTTCATTTCAGAATCCACTTACGAAAAAGGAGTACTAGTAACTTCCTCTCTCCAGTGGTAATATTCAGCTTACACCGACTCCCTTGTGTGTAATTCACAGACCCAACCATGAAAGGCATGACTGGGTTGCCAACCAATTATTTCCCAAAGAAATGTTTCATCAGCACGCAGCCCCCTGATGCTGCCCGGGCAGCATTTCATGATTCAGATGCCCGTTTTCTCCAGAACACAGTCAGGCCCCTGACTGTCAGATATAAACTATGTTAATTTACTTAAACTTCAAAAAAAAAATCATTTAAGAAAGGATGATTGACTTTAGGAAAGACATTCCTCAGAGAATCAGTAATGGTTCTCTTTGTCTCCTGAGTGTCTTACGTTCTTAACTTCCCCTTGTCAATGTCATTATGAATGGGGTAATTCAATAATGAGCCCATTTCCCACAAGAGCGGCCAGACACACACAGCATTCAGTCACACCTGGTTTTCCTAATCAGAACAAGGAAGGCTTTCTCCCAAATTTAGCCTAAATCAGGAAATGTAATGAACACACACACACACACACACACACACTTTCTTGCAAATAAGAAAGAGGGAAGAAGGACAGAAAAGCAGAGGAACTGGGTAGCAGTGGAACAAATGGAGTAACAGATTAGGAAATATTAAAAATGAACATATTAGTATGTGATTCAACTTTTAAAAGATTATTTCTTTGGGGGAGAGAGAGAGAGAATATCGTCCATCTGCTGATTCATTCCCCAAATGACCACAGCAGCCATGGCTAGGCCAGGCTACGTCCAGGAACCAGAAACTCCGTCTGGGTCTCCTACAGTAACTCAAGTACTGGGGCCATCATCTGCTGCCTACCAGGTAATAGGAGGAAGCCGGAGAGGAAGCAGAATATTCAGGCCTCAAAACCAGCACTCTGATAACGGATGCTGGTGTTGCCAGGGGTAACTTAACCTGCGGTGCCACAACAGAAGCCCCTACATGGTTCATTTTCAAAACAAAGATCAGGGTGTGTGTGTGTGTGTGTGTGTGTGTATACATGTATGTTTATAACTGGCAATGTGACAAAATAGTTCATCATCCTGAATGCCTGAAGGGTTGTTTCAGATTTTTCTGAACTTGTCAAGGTCTCAAAAAATCAAATGAAAAGACACAGGAGTAGCAGGCGAGAACATTCTGGAATACTGAAAACAAGTTGCTTTTTAGCCATAAAGACTTCTGGAAAATTAAGGAGTTTAAGGAATAATCCAATTAGGTAGAAATAGCTACAGAACATGTAGATACCATAATCATCATCTGTCCTCTTCAAAACTCATTAAAACTCATTGAAACACTACTGGTTGGATGATTGAAGTCAAGTATAGACAATGTTAAGACCAAAGGAAGAGAGAACAAAATTAAGTCTCAAATCTGAAAAAGTGCCTCATAAAGAAACATTAGAAGTAGAGATCAGTCAACCTGGAAAAGAGAAGGAACACTAATAAACACTTTCACTCCTGAAAATCCGAGGGGAAGATGGGTTTCTGTTGGAGCAAGACAGAAGAGATGAGGAATTAGATGAATGTAAAAACACCACACTGGCTATGAACAATGAGAGGAAAATTCAGGTGTACAAACTTTGCAAATGATTAAACCAAATGATTCAGTTAGACCACAGAATATTTGTTCAGGCATGGAAAGTGATATTGGCAAGGAATATTAATGAATGTGGAAAAAAATGTTCTCAACATTGTACAGGAAAATGCAATCAAATTAATATAAAATTATATTATTAGCCCCAACTTTGTGAAAAGAGAATTCATATAGGTATAGATGTGTGAAAAGTCACACAGACATACAGTGTGTGCCCAACAGCCAGGGGAAAGCATACTAAACATTACAGTCTTTAGATCAAAGGTTTATGAGTGATGTTTATAGTCTTTATATTTCATATGGTATGCAAGGAGCACTTGGTAGTTTTATTCTCACGCAAAAATAGTTAGTTTTGTAGTGAAAAGAACTTAGAGTGGACAGTAGGAAAAACTCTCCGCCTAAGGAATTTAACCATTTAATAGCCTTGTAGAATTACCTTCTTCTTTCTTATTTCTAATGAAGCTTTTTAAAAGTACTAATAATCTATTTTAAAAGGCGACTTTGTGCAGTGAGTGAAGTCTTGGCTTTGGTACGAGAAACCGGGCCCAGTATCCCCTCCTACCTCGCGAAGTCCAGGTCTGCCTCCCGGGACATGGTGATGTTGGTCAAATTCTGCTGAAGAACAAAGATGTTCCTGCACATTTTCTTGATGCCAGACTCACTGATGCGCCTGAAGTACTGGGCACCGTTGATAAGGATGCAGGAAATCAGGTGTCCCAGGCCTGCAGGGTCAGCACAGGGCAGCAGGGAGAAAAGAAACAGCAGATTAGTGGCGTGTCCCTCAGGAACCTGCACACAGGATGGCTCCCTCGGGATCCTCCACAGATTGAAATGACCACAGGAAACACATCTCTTGCTGGTTGCATCAGCTGATCTTCAATAGTATCAGAGCATTTCTTCATTGTTTTAGTGGTTACTACATATGGGAGGACTTCCTGCTGGCCACAAAACCTAGCCTATCCAGGGGTCTGGCATTGCCATGTGCACTGAGAACTACCATGCCAAGGGCTGAGACAATATGCCAAGTTGCTGCAAACTCTTAAAGTACCTAAGAGCTTCTGCTTTCCTGCACAGACACTTGGGGAAGCAGAGAACGTATGTACAATGACCTGTAAGGCCTCCTCCCTCAGAGAGAGCAGAGACAGACACTTTTGGTCCCAAGCTGATGGGCAATCCATGTAAGTAAAAAAATAAATCAACAGAAAAATAGGTGTTGGCAACACTGCTAATATACCCGCAGTACTGACCAGTAAAAATAAATAAATAAGGTTGCTGATAATAATGTTAATATACTTCAACACTGGCAATGGGGTATATTTCTAATATGTTTTTAAAAGATTTGTTTATTTGAAAGTTAGCATGAGAGAGAGAGAGAGAGAGAGAGAGAGAGAGAGAGAGACAGACAGACAGAAAGCACACGCTTCATCTAATGGTTCACGTCCCAAAATGACCCAATGCTGGGGCTGTCCCATGCCAAAGGCATGAGCCCCAAACTCCATCTGGGTCTCCCACAAGGTGGCAGTGGCTCAAGAACTTGGGCCATCGTCTCTTGCTTCCCCCAGGCACATATATAGAAAGGAGCTGTACTGGAAGCAGAGGGGGCGGGGAATGGAATCGACGTTCCGATACGAGATGTTGCGTGGTGCGAGCAGCTGCTTAACCCACTGCATCACGACGCAGGCCCTGATTTCTTAGACTCCTCAAGATGTAACAGGAGAGACTGTCATCCCAGACAAAGGTCCAGGGAAGAGCAGATCATGCATTAACTGTTGAGTTCTCATGAGCCCCCCACGAACATTTCTGGGGTCCCGCAGTTGTTGGCTCTTTCACCTGAAGGATTGTCTTAGGGTCCCATGAAACTGGGCAGAGGACAGCTCAGGACACCAGCAATCTAACAGGGTCCCTGTCCCTTCAGACTATTCTCTATAATGAACTTGAGGAGTGCTGGGTCCAAACAGTACCTGGGTTACTCATTTTAAAATATTTTAATTCTAAACACTGGGAATCAAATCAACATTTCTTTCTCCTTTGTATCATATTCTTGCAAAGTTGGATCCTAGCAGGATAAAACTGGTCTGGATAGTCAGAGGTAGTCTACTATGAGGAGACTTCAAAAAGTTCCTGGGAAAAATAGATTTAAAAGATGAGCTTATTTTGGTGAAAAACAACAAAAACAACAACAAAAAAAATTGAAATCCATGCATAGCTTGTTGATACTATGCATTTTCCACAGACTTTTTGAAGACCCCGTGTTATTTTTGTTATTTTTTCTTCTAAAGTCACAATGCAGGTCACATTTTCTGTTTCGGTGGCTCCCTCTGTCTTCAAAATTAAGGTGAAAGTAGAGTGGACAGGCCTTGGAGCAGTGGTTACAATACTGCTTGGTCTGCCCATATCAAGGCACCTGGTTCGAGTCCTGGCTCCACCTCCGACAGAGTTTCCTGCTAACGTGCACCCCAGAAGGAAGCAGATGAGGGGTGAAGTAGTTGGGACTCTGAATTCTAGGTTCCTGACTTCGACCTGCCCTTGTCCTAGCTATTGTGGGTATTTGGGGGAGTGGATGGGAGATTTTTGTCTATGTCTCTTTCAAATAAAATGAAAATAAAATTTTTTAAAAATTGGTGACAGTAGAAATCTGACAGTTGGATTGAAAAGTCATCTGTCTGAATATTTAAAAAAAAAATCAAAGCAGAAAAGGGAGAGGGAGTATGCACTCTCTTTTGCTTCAACTTCACTCACCTAATGTTTCAAGAGCACCAACTTGACGGTGCAACTACTTGTATTTGAAAGTGAAGAAAAAGAAACAGGACCATGGAGGCTACATCTAAAGCTAGACAACTATATTAAAACAAAACAAAACAAAACAAACAAACCTGTAGGTCGAGTTCTAATGCCATTCTCCCAAGCCTATAACTTTAGATATAATTTTGTTCTGCCATGCTTTTAGGGGGCTGGCCCAAAAGTGTAGTCTCCATCTCTGTGACTGGATCTTTATAATTTAATGGGAAAATACGGTTTGGGGGCTTGGGTGTTAAGATTGCTGGAATGTAACTGTTTCCTAACAAAGGCATCGGCCATGCACTGACACTTTCTTTGCCATCTCTAGTTGACTACAGTCCTTTGGACAGTGCACCCTCTTAAATTTTTTAAGTAAAACTGGTTTAGTTTTGTGAGAGAACACATAAGCACATCGAAACATGTAAAATGAGGCGATAATTTGAAATCCTAACAGGGGTACGAGAGGTGGAATTCAGCGTGAGAACCTATTTGGCCAGCACGGCGTTTGTCCAAGCTGTGAAGGCAAGAATCTGCAGATGACACTTGCTGTCTCTGCCAGCCTTCCTGGCCAGCCTGCACCCTGGTTTTTCGGAAGGCATTAATGGAGACAAAAAAAAAAAAAAAATCACTGCTGGCCAGAGACTTCTGTTCTTTCCAGAGGAGAATGCCTTTGTGGAGCCTTTGAGCGAAAGCCTCCTCCCCTGCTGTGACAAGTGTGGACGACGAGGGATCTTTCAGGGTTCCCCCTTCACAGTCCCTGTGCTTTCCTTCTCTTCTGAGCTCCCCTGGAGTTCACTGGTAGCCCACTCTGCACATTTACCAAGTCTTAGGAGTGGCGCGCCAGGGAAGCAGCCGGGTAACCACCTGCCTTAGCTTGGGTACCTCTCCTTATCCCCCAGGAGCAGGTGCAGCCACACTGTGGTCTACCCAGACCTCAACAGGGAGCAGGTCGTGTAGCTTTATGCCTAATAAACAATCCCCCCACCCCCCCCGCCCCCAGACGTCGGGAACTCACAGAACACAGACAATCGGGAAACCTCCCCCCTCCCCCTTCCCAGGCTCCCGGAGGCAGAGGAGGGGCTGACCTTCGAAGATGTACTGGAACTTGTGCTGCTGCAGGCTCGCGCTCATGGCCTCCTCGATGGCGCTGATGTCTTTGTTCAGTTTCACCACCAGGGGGTCATAATCCATACTTTCCACGTTGGCGACAATGGCATAGTTCCCCTCTTTTGCCAGAGGGATGAGATAGTGGAAGCAGTGAACCCTGAAAAACAGAGAGAGGGGAAGCGCGGATAATACTGAATCCTTCCAGGCACGAGGGTGATCCTGTTGTAGGGGATCTCCCAAGTACTTGCATCAACAGCAGCCTGCTGAATTTTTATGTTTGCCCAACTGCTGTACCTCTTTCTTTCTCTCTTTCTTCTCTCTTTCTTTCTGATTTACTTATTTATTTACTTGAAAGGCAGAGTTAGAGAGGCAGAGAGAGGTCGAGAGAGAGAGAGAAGTCTTCCATCCACTGGTTCATTCCCCAAATGGCTGCAATGGCCAGAGCTGGGCCAATCCAAAGCCAGGAGCCTGGAGCCTCCTACTCATCTCCCACGTGGGTACAGAGGCCCAAGCACCTGCGCCATCCTCCACTGCTTTCTCAGGCTATGGCAGAGAGCTGGATTGGAAGAGGAGCGGCGGGGACTCGAACCGGCACCATATGAGATGCTGGTGCTGCAGGCAGCAGCTTTACCAGCTATGCCACAGAGCTGCCCCCCCCACTTAAAAAAAAACAAACAAACCATAATCTACCTTTGTACCTTTGTATTCTATAGCACAACTGAGTGATCTGGATTAAGTCAGGTTCTATCATCTTTGCTTGGTTAATCCCTACAGTGTTAGAAAGAAATAGATGAATCCAGAAATTCAGAAATTCTGTTTAATGACAGTATTGAGTGCACAGGGTGAAAAGCATCACAAATGTCTTTCAAGAGATAACGTTGCAATGAAAATGAGAGGCAGAGTCCAGGGATGCTCAAAGTGCGGGCTTTGGAAAGAAACAACTCTGGCTTTAATTCCTTGCTCCAATGTACACTAGCAAGTTGCTTTATCTCTGACTCAGTTTCCTTATCCATGCCATGGGGCTATCAGTAGCATCTACCTTCTAGGGTGCTGTGTGGAGCTACTTTGCATAAAGCATATAGCTCACGAAGCACTTAAAGGACAGGCTTCTGTGTAAATATACATTTTCATTTCTCTGGATCACATGGCAAGAGCTCTCACCAGCCCCACTGTGGCCAGCTGTTTAAGATGTTTCTAGTCATTCTGCTAGATGCATAATGGTATCTCGTTTTGATTTTAGTTTCCATTTTCCTAATGACTAATGATGTTGAATATATTTTCCCATCTATTTATCTTGGGTGAAGTATCTGTTCATATCATTTGCCCATTTTTTCTCTTTTTTTGTTTTCTTCTTTTTTTATTTGCATGCATTTCATAAATACAACATTATGAACATAGTAATTTTCCCCACTTACCCCTCCTCCCACCCACACTCCTATCCCTCTTCCCTCTCCTGTTCCCTGTCTTGTTTTTTACTATGATCTATTTTCATTTAACTTTATATACAGAGAATTAACTCTATTCTAGGTAAAGAGTTGAGTGCTTTGTATGAAAGAAAAAGAAAAAGAATAAAAAAGAGAAAATTAAAAACAGAAAAAAGAGCCAAACCTGTTCCTCAACAGTACAGACAAGGGCTGTTCAAACTTACTGCATCTCGAAGGTAATTGTGCTTTTTTCTCCTTTTTTTCTTCCTTCCTTCCCCACTTTCCTTTTAAACTTAATTATGTTTAAAGAAGAACCCAAGAATGATACATCTTTTGCGAGCTCTTAGATACAACCATAACTTAGGAGACATAGGAATACCCTCCGTTCAATAAAAGGAAATCATTCTTTGGGAACATTTTTACTATTAAGTCTCATAATGTAGCTCTTTGAGGACAGAGGTCCTGCATGGGGAGTTAGTACACAGTGACTCCTGTTGTTTATTTAACAAATAACACTGTCACTTGTGACATCAGTGTTAGAGTTAAAAAAAAGTCCGCCGCCCCCAAGGACGACTCCAGGAGACTCTCTCATGCAATCAGCAAAGGGTTAAGGGTTTATTGATCCAGCATGCTGGGGCTCTCTGAACATGCAAGAACAGAGGAACCCCGAGGAACTAAAGTATAGGGTTTATAAAGGTAAAAACCACAAAATCAGGAGGGGGGATACACGGTTGCTAAAATCAAAAGAGAGTACATAGTTACTGGGGTCAACATAACCCAAGTCCTAAGTGAAGTTAATATCCATTATAATCTTGACAATACCAGTTACAATCTTACAATTATGATCTTGACATTAATCCAAATTATAGGTAAGACATAGACGAATCACATCTTTATCATTAACCCAGGTGCAACCTTTCTACTTTCAAGCTTGAGCAATCATGCTAGGGGGTTTTTGTGCTCTGCCAAGGGTGATGTAGTGCACTGCTATTGTCTGACTATTTGAGATCATAGTTTCAGACCAGAGTCTCACGGTGGGGGGGGGGGCGGGTGCTTTCCCAGAATGGAGTCTCAAGTGCTCCAAAGTGGAGTCCCTACTGCCAAGGTGCTACTTCATCAGTAATCACCCAAGGCTCTTGGCATGAGCTGCCTTGGCTGTGGAAGCTTTTTGGATCTATAACTCGGCAAAGCCGTAAGCAAAGTGGAAGTTCTCTCCTCCCTTCAGAGAAAAGTACGTCCTTCTTTGGTAGCCAAATGTTTGAAAAGTTGTTTATGCACTCTAGATACAGATCCTTTCTCATTCTTTCATTTCAACAATGTCACTCAAAGAATGGTTTTTAATTTTGATCAGGTTCAACTTACTATTATCTTACCTTTTGTGAGTAGTGTTTTTGGTGTCGTTTTTAAGAAATCATTGCCTACAAAGGTCACAGAAATGTTTTGCTTTAGAAGTTTTACAGTTTTAGGTTTTGTATCTAGATCTATGAGCTAGACTTTAGATGTGTTATGGTCTCATAACCAGCTCATGATTGAAATCCAAGCATGTTAACTATTCATTTTCCCCATTCAGTGCTCATCCTAACAGTTGCTAACTAATGACTAATTTCACCCATAAAAACTCCCTCTGAAATTCATGTGATAGCTGGGCTAGTGGACAGCTGCAATCAAGACACCAGAAATGGCACTGGCCGGAACCCTCTGGAACATGACCTCCTGAGGCCATGGAAGGTGACCAGCCTCAGACCGGGATTCGTGATTAGGACTACCTGCTGCAACTGTGGCCGGAACTTAAATGCAGTGGGCACTTAGTTGAAAACAGAACCAGAGCTTTGTGTTTCATATTTCTAAAGTAAACTATAGCCATCATTGCCACAGATGATGGGAGACCATGGGAAAGGCAGGAGGCGGTGCATGGAGGATGGTTCTGGGGATAGGCAGTGGCTCATTCCTAGCTCACACAGGTCACCTGACAGAGGCCTGGGGTGAGCTGGGGGAGATGGCAGGGGCCAGGCCATCAAAGGTTCTTAAGGTCAGTAAGGAATCCGGACTTCAGAGAGACTAGTTAGGAAATTCTTATGAATTGGAGGAGAGAGCTTATGAGATCCTGAAGCTGGTGGCCGAGAGGAGAGAGAACCAAGGTTTATAGTACCAACTTCCTCTTCATAAATGACTGCAGAGACAAAACAAAATAGTCACCAAAGAATATAAAATTCAATAAAGTTTTCTTTTCCTTTTAATTTCTGGCATGTTGCTGTTGACCTCAACATGACTTTGGCATTGAAGTTTTCTGCAAACACTGCTGACTGCACAGCGGGATGGGTGATTTTCTGACACTGCACACGGAGGAACCCAACGGTGACAGGGTGACAGGAAGTGGCTGCTGAACCCACTTAGAGCCCTCCTGATGGTGAGAGAAATCAGCTGATAAAGGTGACCCTCTTGGCACCTTGGATTCAAATGACGGTTTTATTTTTCTAAAGTTAAAATAGGAAAAAAAAAAATCTCAAAATCATTGATGGTCTCACCATGTGGTTCCTCTCTTGGGGGTGTCTTATACCTCATGGAGGGGGCTGTCTGGTGGCTGAATGTGACCCACAGTGACGCGGGTTATATATCACGTGCTCCGGATGAGTCCTTCATCCAGAACCTGCTGCACTCGAGAGTGTGTTTTGGTTTGAACTTTAACATCATGTTTAGTTGTCTCACTAAAAGTCAAGGAAAGATAGCGTGCAGGACTTAAAATTCAGGCTTCCTCTTTAAAAACTTTTTCATTTGTTTACTTTCATTTTATTTGAAAGGCAGAAAGCGAGAGACAGACAGATCTTCCATCTGCTGGTTCACTCCATGACATGCCTGCTATGGCCGGGACTGGGCCAGCTTCCAAACACGCACAGCCGCAGGCAGCTGGAATTGGAAGTGGAGCTGAAACTCCCATCAGGCACTCTGATATGGAATGCAACTCTCTCACGTTGTGTCATAAACACTGTCACAAACACCGAGCCCTAAAACTCAGTCTTCTTTGTTACTCATTCTAAAATTACATCTTTCTATTTTTAAGCTGATATTGAAGGAGATTTAGGATCAGCTGTATGGCTTATTGTAAAGTTAATAAATAACACCTAGGGGCTGGCGCTGTGGTGTAGGGGGTTGGGCTGCTCCACTTCCGATTCAGCTCTCTGCTATGGCCTGGGAAAGCAGCAGATGATGGCCCAGGTCCTTGGGTCCCTGCACCCACGTGGGAGACCCGAAAAAAGCTCCTGGTTTTGGCCTGGCCCAGTCCAGGCTGTTGCGGCCATTTAGGGGGTGAACCAGTGGATACATCTCTCTCTCTCTCTCTCTGGCCCTCCTTCTCTCTAACTCTGACTTTCAAGTAAATACATCTTTAAAAATAAATAAATAACAACCAAAACATGTTCAGTGTCAATAAGAATGGTACTGCCAGGCTGACGCCGTGGTTCAATAGGCTAATCCTCCGCCTTGCGGCGCCAGCACACCGGGTTCTAGTCCCGGTTGGGGCACCAGATTCTGTCCCAGTTGCCCCTCTTCCAGGCCAGCTCTCTGCTGTGGCCAGGGAGTGCAGTGGAGGATGGCCCAAGTGCTTGGGCCCTGCACCCGCATGAGAGACCAGAAGCACCTGGCTCCTGCCTTCGGATCAGCGCGGTGCGCCGGCCGTACCAACAGCAAAGGAAGACCTTTCTCTCTCTCTCTCTCTCTCTCACTGTCCACTCTGCCTGTCAAAAAAAGGATGGTACTGCCAAGACGTGCAGAAATATAAAGGGCAGACAGAGGTTAAGGATTTAAAAGGTCTCACTCAAACACGTTGAAAACATTCCACTTAGAGTTAGCCACACTATGGCTCTGCATGTACAACACATCATGGCAACCACACAACCAGTGGCATGAAGACAAGAGTAGGGATATCAACGAACTTGGCCTTCCTTGTTTTTCTTTGCAACCCAGGTAACAGAGGCGTCAGGTGTTTTCTTTTGCTTCTGTCTACTGCATTAATCTATTCCTAGAAAACACCTCGTTTATTTCACTGTCAGCTTGTAAATAAATAGAAAACAAATCTCAAAATTATCAGAAAACAGAGCAAGGGCTTTTAGTGCTGGGCAGCTTTATAGAAGAAATAAGATCAGAAATAATACCAAGAAAAATAAATCCTGAATCTGAAATGCTATTTTCTCTTGTTCTCCTCTCACGGTGCTTAGAAGCAATAAAAAAAAAAAAAAAGAAAAAAGAAAAAGAAAAGCCAGCGAGCAAGATAATGGGAAAAAAGTGACACACACCTGAAGGACATCCAAGTTCCGGCCTTATCTGAGACCCAAAGTCCTATTTACATGTTTTTAAACCTAAATCTAGTAAAGACTTCAAGAAACCAAAAATATTCTATCAGCTTTAATAATGTTCCCCCGGTAATTCTGAAAAAAATGTCACACCGTGCCATGCGCTTTCTCATCTGAGGTTTCCGATGCTGAAGTTTCCAAAGTGTGCATCCAGCTGCCTATGTGACATCGCTACCCGGCCAGTGTCTCACCAGAGCAAAATCTTGAAGATGGGATTTTTAAATTTCCACGCCTCCCCCCAACCTTTCTCACCTCAGTTGTTGGCCCCCAAACTGGTGGCCCCTCTTGGGTTCCTTCTGTGTCTCACTGCTACCAGCCCCTGCACCCACTCCCATCCATCACAAAGTGTCTTCCGCATTCGTCCTAAACCCAGCCCTTCTCACACTGCCATCTGTGCCATCTTGGCGCTCATAACTGGTCTCACTGGTCAACCTATTTCCACCCGCAATCCCTTTTCCATGCAATAACTTGAGTGGTCTTTTAACCGTGTTCATTTGTTAGTTCAAGTCACTCCTCTGCTTAAAATCCTCCTATGGCTTCTTAGTACGCTCACAATAAAATCTGTAGTCTTCGCTTGGCCTGTCAGACCCTAGGGTAGGTCAAGCTGCCATCAGGTGGTAACCTCATTGTCTGCCTGATCCTCCCAGGCCTCCCCACCTGCCTTGCTCTGCAGGCTGCACTCAGAGGGCTCCCCTCTCTTCCTCAGAGCTGCCAAGCTTGATTTTAAGACCTATGCAAGCGGTGCTTCTCCTTCTGTCTGAAGATCTTCCTCTGTCTTGTCTCAGGTGGCTCTTTCACGTTACTTCTCACATTTCTTCCTGCCACTCAGCATAAAACAAGAACAGCAGCAACCCAAATCTCCCTTTCCAGTCAATTCGCTCTGTCCAGTAAGGCAGCACTGGCCACCTGTGGCTACTGAGCACTTGAACTAGGCCGAAGTCCAAACTAGGAGGGTAAAATACACAGATTTCAAAGGCTTAGTCCAAATAGTGCAAAACATACCATTAATTACTTTTACTTTAATTACATGTTGGAATAAGAATTCTTTGGGTATACTAAGTTAAAAAATACACTATTATAATTTATCTTGTTTCCCTCAAAATGTGCCTATGAGTTGAGTGTTCCTCATCTGCAATGCAAGGAACCAGAAGTGATTCTGATTTTGAAGTTTTGGGATTTGGGAATATCTGCACATACTTCTCCATTTGCCCATCCCTGATCCAAATATCTGAAATCTGAACGTGGTCAGGTTTCCCAGTATTTCAGATTTCACGCTGGGGATGCTCAGCCAGCATTAGAAGAAGGTAAAGGACCCAAGTACCTCGCATTCACAGTTCCCATTATCTTTCTATCAGCACTGATTGTTCCAATTATGTTATTTCATTATGGTAGTTGCACTTACCTGAAATTGTCTTTTTTTTTGTTTACTTATTGGTTGTTTCCTCCTTTTAGAATGCAGTTCCACAAGAACAAGGACTTTAAATGCTTTGTTCATTGCTGTCTCCCAAGTTTTAAAACACGGGGCCGGGGGGTGGGGGCAGGCATTGTGACATAATGGTTAAGGTGCTTCCTGTTACGCCGGCATCCCACATGGGCACAGATTCAAATCCTGAATGCTTCACTTCTGATCCAACTTCCTGTTAATGTGCCTGGAAAAGCTGTGGAAGGTGGCCCACGTGCTGGGGCGGGCCCCTGCACCCGCAGGGGAGACCCTGATCGAGCGTCTGGCCCCAGCGTAGCCCATCCCTGGCTGTTGTTGCCATTTCAGGAGTGAAGCTATGGATGGAAGATCTCTTTCTGTCTCTCCCTGTAACTCTGGCTTTCAAATAAATAAATCTTAACAAAAACAAAACAAAAAACATTGTGTGGAACAAAGAAGGCCCTCAAAAAATACAAGGATACTTTAAAAAGTCGTGTACACAGAATTAAAAGGGAAGTTTACTTTTGGTGTGAAAATTTTGAAATTCATGCATAGGATGGGCCTTCAAAAAAGTTCCTGAGAAATGCATGGTATGAAAAAGATGCAAAGATTTCAAAATTTTTCTGCACCAAAATAAAGTTACCTTTTTTTTTTTTTATCTTTTATTTAATGAATATAAATTTCCAAAGTACGACTCATGGGTTACAATGGCTTCCCCCCCCATACCGTCCCTCCCACCCACAACCCTCCCCTTCCACTGGCATTTTGAAGTAGCCGGTATTAGCTGAGTGGCTGAGTGAATGAATGAATGAACAATTAAAGATTTCCTAGGGGCCAGCATTGTTGTGCGGGGGGTTAAGCCACTGTTTGGGACACCAGCATCAGATGTGAACAGTGGTTCAAATCCTAGATGCTCAGCTTCTGATTCAGTTCCCTGCTGATGCACCTGGGAAAGCAATGCAAGATGGCCCGAGTGCTTGGGCCCCAGCATCCCTGTGGGCCACATGGGTGGAGTTACAGGCTCCTGACTTTGGCCTGACCCAGCCCTGGTCATTGCATCCATTTGGGGAGTTAACCTGTGGACAGAAGATTTCTATCCCCCACCTTCATCCTGTAAACTCTGCCTTTCCACTAACTAAATAACAAAATAAATCTTTAAAAAAAATGTCTTTCTTAGTCCTTTTTACCTACCATTTCCATTTCCACAGGCTACCAAGGCTAATCAGAAATACTCTAAAAAAGGAGGGGAAGGATCAAGAGACCAAAAATATGGTATCTTTAAAACTATTTTCTTGAGGGGCCAGTGCTTTGGCATAGTAGGTTAAGCCTCCACCTGCAGTGCTGGCATCCCATATGGGTGCTGGTTCGAGTCCTGGCTGCTGCACTTCCAATCCAGCTCTCTGCTAATCTGCCTGGGAAAGCAGCAGAAGAAGGCCCAAAACCTTGGGCCCCTGCACCCATGTGGGAGACCCAGAAGGAGCTCCTAACTCCAGTCTAGGCTGCTGCAGCCATTTGGGGAGTGAACCAACAAATGGAATAGTCTCTCTCTTTCACTCTCTTTCTCTCTTTCCCTCCCTCCTTCTCTCCATATATTTTTGCCTTTCAAATAAATAAATAAATAAATCTTTTTTTTTTAAAAAAAACTGTTTTCTTCAATTTTTATTTAACATAATGTCTCCATTTGGGTTGCATTGTCCTTTAAAGGGGGCATGGTTCTTGCATCTGCATATTCACTCCCTTTCTGACATTTATCTTAGCAAAAATATCAATGACAATAAAATCACAGTAATTGCAAAGCTACCAACTTTTCAACACTTACCATGTGGCAGGCAGTAGGCTAATTATTTATGATTCCATTTATAAAGCCATGTAAGTTAGGAGTTACCTTTTCCCTTTTTAGGACAACAAAAGGGAAGGTGTGTAAAGTTAATTCATGGACCCAGGCTCTCTGACTCAGCTGAGATGGACACTGAGGTGCAGGTCATTACGACTTCCTGGGCCATGCCAGCTCTGAGTCACCACGTTCATGGTACAGCAGGTGCTCAAATACCTCAAAGAGTGACTGATTAATGCTACCAACCAAAGGACAGCAGTAACAGTAAGAATAAAACTGATGGCGATACTCCCTGGAAATAAGCAAGTGACTGATGAACCCCAGAGTGCTCCAGTCACGGTCCTGTGCTTGGTGGTGTCATACCTCACTTCCAGGTGCAAGACGAGCAGGCAGCGGTCGGCCATATCCTGGAACGATTTGGCGAGTTCGCTCAGGGTCTGCATGATCTGCTCTGACATTGGGGGGAGGTCCATGTTCACGTGGCTCTCCTGAGCAGGAGAAAGTACTGAAAGAAAGGGCGGGGACAAATCAGATGCATACAGAATTTTTGGAGATGATGTTGTTCTTATCACCAACCTGCCCGATGCTAGCGTTGGAAGCATTAGAAATGCGAGTCATGATAGGCTAGTGCTGTTCTTGGTAGAAGCTCAGATGATTACTTAGAGTCGATTCACAGGATGATAGAACCTCAGCGTTGGAAGTGGCCTTAACAGTTGTGTGTGCCAACCACTTGGTGTGCTTGTGTCTTCTGTCCATCTTCAAGTGGGTGCACACTCACACCCATACTCGTGAAATACTTTTGTGGCAGATTGTTTTCATGCAACCACCTTACAGAAAGCCACTACCTGTCTTCATGAACTTGGAAGCATTGGTTCTGATTCCATCTAACTCGGCAGTCCTTCTTTCGTGTGTAAGAACCTCAAGTACTAAGACTAACTCTTCAGGCTACCCTAAAGGCTTCACTTTTCTAGGCTAAATGGCTCCACTTCTTCAACCATTCTTCAAGTGATTGGACTGAATCATTTTTTAATTCTCAGAATTTACCAACCGAAACATCACAGCTCTTACGTATCTATCTCCCCTTTAACTCAGGTATGCCTTGTGGCCAGCTGAAGCCCTACAAAGGCCTTCTGGGAAAATTTGATAAATCTATCTTCTGTATCTTTCCAAAATCATTTGTAAGATATTTAACGATGCTTGGATACTTTCTTCTGGAAAATACCAAACAGCCAAGTATATAACCACATTTGTTTATCTCTAGACTTTGTTGTACTTCCAGTTCTCTACAACTTCTCAGACATCGTTAGGCATACTTTGTCAATCTCATTCAAAACTTAGTTCTCTGGAGCCTCAGGGCTGGCTTTGAGGCCTGTCTCCACCACTCGTTTTCAGTGAACAAGAGCTAATTATTCAAGTTCTCTCTGCCTCATTTTCTTCTTCTGTTACATGGGGTTCACAGTACCTATGTCCTGGGGTTGAGTGGATAATTTAGAGAACACCTAACAACAGCATATAAAACTCACCCAGTATTAACAAATCAAACCATAAATAAGTATTATTCTTTCACTAGTGATTTGTTGTTAATTCTTAATTATAGCCACAAGATGCTTATGATATAATTCCCTTCATCCTGATGTTTAATATTTTAGTTATCAGTATTTTTAGCTTTCTGTCTGAAAGTGTTTCTCTGTGTATCACAGGCTATAGAGACCTTTGGAACAAGGCTGTGTGGACTTAGGGCATATGGGACTTGGCGAGGCATCACTGACTTACTCAGGATGTTGGTCAAACCTACATGGCAGGGAGTCAACATCAGGCTACAACAGTGTCGACAGCCATGGCTGTCTCTGCTCTTGGACTTTGTCAAGCCCAGGTCCATATATAGACAACTACGCCCTACAATTTCCAAGGCTAAATTTCTCTGGTGTGGAATCCACACTTTAATAAATTAAAATAATATGGCAAACATAAAAAAAGAGTTGTTCAAAGGAACTGATATTTAAGGAGGAAGGGGTGGTAGCAAGGTAGATTTTAAATTATTCCCAGCTTTGGCATCATCCTGGCTATTCACGATTGCTCTCTGCTTGAGGCTGGGTGCATGGGCACTGCCAACACCACCCTTAGCCTCTCTGCTCCTGTTTTTATTCAGTGTCTGCCTGCAAGGCAAGAACATCACCTTCATATTTCGTGTGGCAGGCTAGAGAAAAGCAACGTAGCTGCACTATTCCAATATTTCTGAGGATTTTAGGGCCTTACAGGCCCCGGATCCGATCCTCTGTTAATAAGAACTGTCTGTGTATCAGTGAGAAGAGGGAGGGAGAGGACCCTGCACTCTGAGGATCTGTGGTTCAAAGCTATACTGACTGACCAGATTCTATCACAAGCACTTTGGGTGTGTGCGTTATGGTGTAGTGGGTTAGGCTGTTGCTTGAGATGCCTGCGTCCTATATTAGCCAACTTGAATCTCAGCTCCTCTGCTTCCAGTCCAGCTCCCTGCTAATGCACCTGGGAAGGCAGCAGAAGATGGCCCAGGTACTTGGGTCCCTGTCATCCACATGGGAACCCTAGATAAGAGTTCCTGGCTCTTGGCTTTGGACTGGCCTGGCGCTGGCTGTTGTGGGCATTTGGTGAATGAAATAGCTGCTGGAAGATCTCTGCTTCCTCTTTCTCTCTCTTAAAAAAAAAAAAAATGAAAGGCAGTGAGATCTTCCATCTACTGGTTCATTCCCCAAATGGCCACAACAACCAAAGCTGAACTGATCTAAAGCTAGGAGCAGTGCTTCTGAGTCTCCCAAGTGGGTGCAGGGGCCCAAGCACTTGGTCCATTCTTTGCTGCTTTCCCAGGCACATCAGCAGGGAGCTGGATCAGAAGTGGAGCAGCCAGAATGCCAACCAATTCCCATATGGGATGCTGGAGGCCCAGGTGGTGAATTTACCCACTACACCACAGCACCAGTCCAATATATAAATCTTTTAGAAAGGTATTCTGGAAAAGAATCCCACCAACAAACTAAACAGTCTGCCTTTCCTATTAAAATACATAACTTCGGAGTAAGTCAACAGCAAGATTAGCTGCCCAGATAAAAGCCAGAATAGCAAGGCAAGAGGCATTTGGATAGCAGCACACTGTACATTTAGTTTGATTATAGTTTATAGCAAAAACAAAGCTCTTCATTAAAGTAACAGGGAACATTAAGCCCAGAGCTCTACTGAAAGCTGTCTTGTGAATTCCTGAGGGTTCCATGAAATTTACAAACTTCTCTTAAATAAGGAGTCTACTATATTGAACAAGGAAATGCTGAGTATGGCAAACAAGGACAACACAAAACAATGAACTAGCTCCGAAATGTCAAATGGAAATCTACAAAAATGCAATTGACAGAATTGGCCTGGGATATTGTAGTCAAGATATGTCACGGAACACACACACACACACACACACACACACACTTAGAGGCAGCGTGGCTGTATTTTTATCCACAGCATAGCTCTTTACACAAGCACAGTTCACATGTACCAGGGTTTAAAAATATTCGTACTTGATCACTTTATTAAGGCACGTCCCTTAAGCCATTTTTCTAAAACAGGATGAGTGACATCAGACACTTACTCTTGTCTCTTGCTGCTCTCATGACCACTGTACAGAAACACACATCTTTTTTCAGTATTTTAACATCTGACTGTACCACAGTGATGTTTTAAAATTGTATTTATTCATTTACAGATGGTGAGGGAGAGTCAGAGAAACAGAGTCAGAGGGCTTCTATCTACTGGTTTCCTCCTTGAATTCCCACCAGGGCTAAGCCAGGTCAAAGCCAGGTCAAAGCCAGGAGCCCAGATCTCCTGGATGGGTAGTAAGAGCTCAAGTGCTTGAGCCGACACCTGCTGCCCTCCCAGCGCATGCGCTGGTTGGAGCCGAGAATCAGAAGTGGAGCTGGGACTAGAACTCAGTCACTCCGTGTGGACCGGGTGTCTCAAGTGGCATTGTAACCACTGCACCACATGTCCACCCCAGAAGCACGCGCCTTTAGGACTCCTCAGTGTCTGTGGGGCTTCCTGTGCTCAGCTGATTAGTCTATATGGGGAAGCTGAACTCTGGTCTCTGGAGCAGTCAGTGCCTTTTTGATGAGCCAGGTCCCTTCTCCCTGCCCCACTTTGCTCTAACCCCTGGAAGGCCAAATGTGTGCATTTCAAGCCCTCTTTGTGGTTGGAGGTGGCCACGTATTATATTCCGGCCGGTGGTCCCTGAGCAGAGCCTTCTGTGGCTTCAGGGAAGGCTTTGGTTTCTCCAGATAAAAGCTGAAAGAGCTATGCCCCTTTCCCCACCATCCCCTTCCTGGATTTGACTGTGAAGTCCGACGTTGCAGCAGCCATCTTGCCACTGAGAGGAAGGACCACGGCTCCGAGAAGAGCTGGTCGAGAGACTGTTGGGCCAATGGCCAAGGCCAGCAAGCACTTGCCTGCAGACTTCTTGTTAAATTCGGAAAACAAGCACCTCTTTCAGTCACTGAAAATTAAACAACAAAATGACAAACCAAAACACCAAGCACTTGCTGCCAAGTTCAGTTCCATTCAGCCTGTGAAATGTGAAGTTCCAATGTCATATTCTGAGATCAAAACGTTTCTTCTCCCAGCTATTTGGGCCCCCCTGGTTCCTGGTGTTCTGCTCTAACTCTGCAGTCTCTTTAGTGTCTGGTCCCCTCGGTTCCTCCCCGGCCTTCACCAGGGACTGTACGAGCTACTCTTTCACCAGAAACCTCAACTGTCTTGGATCCTCTTCTTTCACCCTAACTTCCCGAAAATTCCATCTAACCATCGGCCGATAGCACCGTCCATCCTTTGCCAGAAAACAAAAGACGACGTTGATGCTAACAGGTCCTGGACTTTTCCTAAGGACCTTTCAGTGCCACTTTGTTGGTCCTCTCGCCAGAGCTTTTCCAAGTCCATGCTGCTCTCCTTGGGCCCTTTGTCCAACCTCCTTGCTATTCCTCTCCTGAGGCCCTAGGGTTCTTAGGAAGACGACTTCTGGAGAACTGTCCACACTTGCCTTCCATTCCCTCTTCTGTGTGCGCCAACCTTCTTTCTGCACTCACTTCTTTCTTTAACAGTTACTCTGATAATGGTCATCAGTGATATTCGTGCCACCAGATCTGCTGGGTGCCCGTCAGTGCCACTCTCATAAAAGCTCTCCTCTACCTGTGACGTCACCGGCCATGACTTGGGCAATCACGTCTTCTCTTGCTCTCTGTGACATCCTGTTCTTCTGAGTGTTTTCGGACTTCTCTGCCATTTCTTTCAGACTTCCTTCATGGAATCGTCTTACTTTGGTCCACCGCAAATGCTAGTGTCTCCAGGGATGTTGGTCTTCCTCACTTGCCATGATGTTCCAAAGAGCGCATCCACCTTTAGCCTTTGTATTCTTATTTTTTAATTTTTTAAAGATTATTTATTTATTTGACAGGTAGAGTTACAGTCAGTGAGAAAGAGAAAAACAGAGAGAAAGGT